TCTAGCAGAATCGCCAGCATCTTTACAGAAACCTAGGCATAATCCCACGGGAGAGGCTGGGGAAAGGGTGCATGAGACTTCCCAGTACATTTCTTTGCAACCTCCTGTGAATCTATAATAATTTCAAAATAAAAAGCTTTTTAAAAGCTCCAAATAAATAAATTGATAGATAGAAGTTTTGGAAGATAAAGTTAATGAAATATTCCAGAAAGAACATAAAAGTGTGTGTATGGGGTGTACAGGGAGAAGAGATGAGAGGAAGAGAAGGGAAGGGAAGGAAATGTAAGGAAAGGAAGGGAAAAAACAAGAAAATTAGAGGACCAAAGCTGGAGGTCCATGATACTATTAGGAGTTCCAGAAAGAACAGAGTCAACACAGGAGAAGACCCCTTTCCCCAACCCTACCAAAGCACATCATAATGACCTTTCAGAGCACTGGGGGGCAAAAGGAAGATCTGTGCTGGATTATCTGTTGCCAAATTAGCATCACAACCACTCTTTTCTGATCTTGGGAAATATGTTTTCCAGAATACTCTTCCCATGGTGGCAAGGATGGAGATTGTGCATAGGCTCAGTAACATGAGCTTTCACTCACTAAATCTGATCTGGCTGTGGTCCCTATTTGGATACCCAGTCTGCCAACAGCAAAGACCAACATTGAGCCCACGATGTGGCACTGTTATTTGGGGGAACCAAACAGCCACTTGGTGGCAGTTTAAGTACCTTGGACCATTTCCATCCTGTCAAGATGATTTATTCTCACTGGATATAGATTTGCCTTTCCTGCCCAGAATGCTTCTGGCAAAATGATGATCCCTGGATTTTTAGAATGTATTATTTATGATCATGGTATTCTTCTTAGCATTACTTCTCACAAGGAACTTATTTAAAAGCAAAAGAAGTGCAGCAATATGCTCCATGAAAGCACGATGTTATTAATACTATTATTTGGAATTCACTGTCTTACCGTGTTTCCCATCATCCTGAAACTTTGCCTGATAGAATGGACTTTGAACATTTACTTATGGCGCTGGCTGAGTGAAATCACTTTGTGGAGCTGGCATAGTGCCTGAGATGCAGGACATGCCCTGAACCAGTGATTAATTTATAAAGCAGTTTCCTCTATAGTAAAGATATGCAGTTTCAGGAATCAAGAGGTTCCAATGGGAATAGCTTTTTTCACTGTTACACCTGATGATCTACTAGCAAAATTTTGGCTTTCCATCTCCATAGCATTGAGCTCTGCTGGTTTAGAGGTCTTGGTTCCCAGGGCAAGGAATGCTTCTACCAGGAGACACAACAATGGTTCCATTAAACAGGAAGCTGACACTGCCATCTGGCCACTGTGTCAGACAAACAAGAGATTACTGTTCTGGATGGGACAAGTGATCTTGATTATGAAGAGTAAATTGGCTTGCTACTACACAATGGGAGCAAGGAGGAATACCTAGTACCCAGGAGATTCTCTTGGTAATCTCTTTGTATTCTCATGTTCTAAAGTAAAAGTTATAGAAAACTATAGCAACCAGAAAAGGCAGGACCATTTATGGCACAAAAACTTCAAGAATAAAGATTTAGATCATCCTACCAGACCAAAAAATGTTGCCACTGAGGCATTTGGTGGGGACAAATGGAAGAGGGAGTGTGTAGTGGGAGAAGAGAATTATGGATACCAATATGGCCATGTGACCAGTCATAGAAACAAGCACTGTAGTAAAGATATTTTCTGCCTTGCTTATATATGGACATTTGTATGTATTAACTGATATTTTTTCTTCTTCTCCTCCCCCATTCCCATACCACCTAATAGCATTAATGTATGTCATGGTTATTTATATATCTCAGTTTTAGGTTCTAGGGTAGCAAAAGGGGATTGTAAATCAGAAGATGAAACATTTATTCAAAGATGGAAACGTAGAACTTTGGATTTCTTCTTTTGGGTTTGGTTGTATAAAGAATAGTTGAATCATATAATGGGAAATATAATGTTGCTAATATCTGTATTTGGAAGTTAAATGTTGAAAAAGGGGGTCTTTGGATGCTGAGCTGACAAAGGTATAGATGGAGCTGGATTGTTTGTTGTTAACTCAGCACTGCTATCAGTCATTTTTAAGGCTGAACTACATCTTCCAGAATCCCCTTTCCTATATGGTTTTTGGTTTGAGTATGCTGGGGAGAGAAACTTGTATGAGATTTAGAAGATGGAAGTGAATCAGTAGCCAAATGTGTGGGTAGACAAGAAATTCGCAGTGGCATCCTGGCAAACTCTTGAGGACTACCCTCTTCTTTATTAAATTCTGAGATGGTTAGTGGAAGCTTCTCAGAGATTCTTGAGAATCTCAGTAAGCTTTTGAGACCTACCCACCTCGGTGCTTCAGGTTGAGATCTTTAGCACGAACTCCTCTGATTTTTGGTGACTGCTTCCATGACTTCCCCCCTTCAGCTCTTCCAACAGTCATGGAAGTCCCTAATTCTATAGTAAATTTCTTATATACAGAATTCATGAAATGACTTCTTTTTTCCTGACAGTACCCTGACTAATACAAGATTCTAAAAGCTTCCAGAGAGAGAAAAGAACAGATTGCATTCAAAGAATGAGAAATCAGCATGGCATCGAACACATTAACTACAACCTTGTAAGCTAGAAGAAAATGGAACAAAGCCTTCATAATTCTAAGGGAGATTGACTTCCAGACCAGAATTAAATACTATTAATCAATAATGAGGGTATAATAAAGACGTTTTCAGACACACACAGTTGCAAAATATTACCTTTTGTCCACTTTTCTCAGGATGCTACTGAAGGATATGCAATATTAAAATTAGGAGATGAGGGTGAAAACTCAAGAAACAGATATGGGATCTGGGAAATAAGAAAGCCAAGAGAGATGAAGAGAATTTTCAGGATGATAGTGGAGTGAATTCCCAGTATGGCAGTTGTGCAATAGGCCTGAAGACCACGTAGGCCAGATTGAGCAGGAGGATAGAAAGCTATAGGAGAGATGTGCCAAGGGAAAAATAAACGGAAGCAACAGATTATCTGATGACCTTGACCATGTTGAGAGGAGTTCTTCAGCTCTACCAGAGCATTTAGGGAGAATTAGTAATAATACATAGAAAATGAAGTAAATAAACAAATGGGCCAATTACTAACTTCTGAAAGAACCAAAAAGGAGCTCCAGTGGCACAATCAGTTAGCACATGGTACTTAAACAAAAGAGCAAAATATTGCACAAGAAGATAAGTATAATTAGACTACACTATGAAGTTTTCATCAGTAAACAGTATTTATATAGCAATAACAATATAAATACTAAACATCAATTTAATCAAGAATCGTGATCCAACTGTACTGGGAAAAGGGTTCATGTATGTGGGTGAAGTGGTTGGGCGTTTTGTAAGGGTAATAAATTCTTATGCTCCATCAGAAGAAGTCAGTCTATAATATTTAAAATAATCAAGGAAGAAGTAGAAACTAAAAAATACTATTTAGAAATATGAAGATAAAGCTCAGAAGAAATAGCTAAAAGAGTTGAAAGGATTGCCTCTAGGAAGCAGGAAAGGAATTGGGAGAAGAGTAGTACAGGGAACTGCTATTTTTTCCATACAATGCCTAGAGTACCATTTGACTTTTAAAAATACATATATTTATCACTCTAATAAAAAATAAACAGAGAAAGGTGTAAGAAAAGTTAACACGCTAATGGGAAAAGTGAGTAAAGACATTAACAGACAGTTTACAATATGCAAAGAACCAACTGACATGAAAAAAATGATTACTCTTACTGAAAAATCAGCGAATGAAAATACGCACAATGATAGTATATGTTTCCTTATTAGATTATAAAAAACCTTACTTCTCTGCACATTGTTTTTCCTGTTCAGTAAATTGGAAATATAATAACACTTGCCTTGATGAATTTATTCCAGGATGCAATGAGATAACACATAAGAACTCTAAACTCTTATATGATTACAAAGAATGAATGATAAGAAAGCTGTCTCCGTGTTGCAACCCTCAGATATGGCTAAAAAGCTAGTGCCAATTTTCCCATTTGACAGAAATTCTTTTATTTAAGTAGATAATTCCAATAGTAAAAATATTCTCCCATGTTATTCAGTGGGAGTATAAGTGGAAGGAAACTTTCATGTTTCCTAATTTGGCCCTATGCAAAAATGTTGGCTCTCCATTAATCTATATAATTACACTGGTGGAAAGGGGGTTGAGAACAATGAATACGCAATATACACGTTAGACTCTTCTTATCAGATGTTTGAAAGATGCTTGCTGAATTAAAAAAGGCCAATTTTAAAAAGATGTGTGTTGCATGATTCCATTTATGTAACATTCATGAAATAACATAATTATAGAGATGGAGAACAGATTAGTGGTTGTCAGAGGTTGGGGGGGGAACATACATCCTGGTTTGTCTGAAACAAGTCCCAGGTTATGCCTGCTTTCTGGGAATAATTATTAATAGCACCTACTTTTATTCTCAAAGTGTTCTTATTTAGATGATAAATTATATAGTCCCCGAGAGTGCAGGTATTAATTTATGCTAAAAATACAAGACAAAATGCTTTAGATAGCATATGAGAAGAGAGCATGTTTGTTATATTGTATGTATTTTAGGAGATTGAATTATATTCTTGATGACACAAAAGACTTTAATATGTGGGTAGCTAATGCAGTTAGAATGAGTTTTTCTTTTCTCTCTCAAGAGATACCTTGAATCTGCTCAAATGGTTGTACAAGTTCTTCATTGCGAGCCCATATTCTGCAGTGTATTGGCGTGGAATAAACAGTTTTATCCTGGAAAGTTTTAAAGGCAAGTGCTGTAAAGAAACCTTGCCTATAAAGGAATGCCAACATAGCTCCTGTGAGGCCGGTTATTTATAGCAGAACTTTCTCTTGATGGTGCCACCTAATTAACTGCAGGGTACCACTCTCTATAATTGATCTTCATAGCGGTGATCCTGAGGACCCACAACATTCTAAACTTGTTTCTACATCACTAAGAGAAACTTAAATTATGTTTATTATGGTATCTACTTCCCCTATCGATCAAAATTTCTTGGAATGGCTTAAAAAAGTGTACTTGAATGATCTGTCCATGCACTGGAATGTGCGAAAGAGTGCCATCAGTAAGCTGAAACTGTGAGAAATTCCTGAAAGAGGGACAGCAGACAAGGCCTCATTCATGAAGAAACAAGTCTAGAGGGAACCTTATCCAAGATAGGGGCAACAGAGAACGTCTATGAAAGTGTAGGGCACATCCTAGGGAGATAAAGTTACAAGGAGAGGCCCAGGAACAATCGTTGAGGTGATTCATTAGGAAACTGCACTGGGAGCAGCTTGGCAGTTTCTGCTTGGACTGAGCGATAGACAACAGTGATGTTTGCTATCAGGATAAAGCAGACACTGTGGATTCTGGGGGTGAAGAGTCAGGGAAGTAGTCCGGTAGCTAATGAACCTCTTAACTGTAAACCACCAACACACTTTTTCTAATACTGTTAGAAATGTTACCTTCTCCCCCCATAGTCACTGTCAGCGAGCTGCATCCACAAACAAACAAATAAGGAGCCTCAAACACAGAAAGACACAACAGAAAATCACCGTACATTTGAGAAAACATCATGAAAGAAGAAAGAAATGCAATAAGAACTAACACGTAAGGAAACCGTTTATAGAGCCAGCAGGAAAAGCCTTCAAAATAAGCATAATAACGTCTTCAAAAGTATTCGAAAAGCCATTTGTGTACAAGAAAAAGAAGTAACAAAAATTCTTGGAAATTAAACACAGTTCACCTTCCTCCACCACAACCTTTTGCAGCTGCCCCCGTGTTGCGTGGGTGCCCAATTGTTGCATATCATCTACTTTTTGTAACGGAGCAGCTGAGGAAATGGCGGTGCACACCCCAGCCAACAAAAGGTCCCAGGAAAGAGTTAAAAGGCAGAGTGATCTTTTCCATACATCTGGTCACACTCATCCCCTGTATAAAGCTATGTAGTGACTTCCTGATACTCTGAAGATCAACATGAAATTGTTAACCTGGGCTTTAAGGTGCTGCAAAAACCAGCTTCTCTCTCCATCTTAGCTTGCCCCACGCTTCCCCTCATTCTCTCTGTCCCATCCTCTACCCTTACTCCCTCTTGGACCTACTTGTGTTCTGTCTTCTACCTGAAACACATTGCTTCCTCTCTTCAGTGAAGTGGGCTTCTACTCTTCCTTCAGACCTCAGATTACGCATACTTAAGACAAAACAGAGTTCTTTGACTTTCATAGTTGGGTCAAATCTTCCTGTTATTTACTCCTGTGTACGTATTTTTGGAACATTTGTTAGAGTTTCAGTTTTACATTCATCTATTTGACGATAAACTTCGGAGGCCAGATGTCGGGTCTGTTTTTACTCAACATTATATCCTAGCACGCACTAGGGTACCTAGATATTTGTTGAATGAAGTAAGAAATAACATTCCAAAATTCCTGTACTATAAAATAATCTGAACAGTCTCAGAGTTAAAACATCCCAGGATTTGACATGTTCCATAATTTTAAAAAATAGCTTTGTTGAGATATAATTCACATACTATACAATTCATCCATTTAAAGCATACAATTTAATGTTTTGTAGTATATTCACAGAGTTGTGCTAACATCATCACAATCTAATTTTAGAACATTTTTGTCCCCTCCAAAAGAAAACCAATATCCATTAGCAGTCACTCCCCACTGTCCCCTCCTTGCCCCAGTCCTAAGCCACCACTAACAGACTTTCTGTCTCCATAGATTTGCCTATTCTGAACACTTCATATAAATGGACTCATACAATATGTGATCTTTGCGGAAGACTTCTTTCATTTAGCATAATGTTGTCAAGCTTCACTCATACTGTAGCTTGGTTCAGTACTTCATTACTCTTTAAGGTCAAATCATATTCCATTGTATGGATATACTCCATTTTGTTTATTAATCAGTTGATAGACATTTCAGTTGTTTCCACTTGGGGGACATCTGCGTATAAGTTTTTGTGTGGACATATGTTTCCAGTTCTCTTAAGTATATACCTAGGAGCAGAGTCGCTGGGTCACATGGGAACTCTATGTTTAACTTTTTGAGGAATTACCAAAAACTGTTGCACCGTTTTACATTCCTACCAGCGATGTGTGAGGGTTCCTATGTCTTCACATGTTACCAGCACTTGTTATTGTATATCTTTTTGATTATAGCTATCCTAGCAGTTGTGAAGTGATATCTTATTGTGTGTCTTTTTTTTAAAGCAAGGAACTTGTTTATTACTTTGAAATCATAGTGGTTTTTTTTCTTCATCTTTGTGAACTCCTTTTATTTTATTGAGGTAACATTGGCTTATAACATTGTATAAATTTCAGGTATACATAATTATATTTCGATTTCTGTGTAGATTACATCATGTTCACCACCCAAAGGCTAATTATAATCCATCACCACACACATGTGCCTAATCACCGCTTTAGCCCTTCTCTCTCCCCCTTTCCTCTCTGGTAACCGCAAATCCACTCTTTGTCTCTATGTGTTTGTTTGTTGTTGTTTCTATCTTCTACTTATGAGTGAGATCATACGGTATTTGACTTTCTCCCTCTGATTTATTTCACTTAGTAGAATACCCTCAAGGTCCATCCGTGTTGTCACAAATGGCCAGATTTCATTGTTTCTTATGGCTGAGTAGTATTTCATTGTGTATGTGTACCACATCTTCTTTATGCATTTGTCCCTTGATGCGCACTTAGGTTCTTGTGGTTTCGATTTGCATTTCTCTAATGACCAGTGATGTTGAGCATCTTTTCATGTGATTATTGGCCATTTGTATATCTTCTTTGGAGAAATGTCTATGCAAATCCTTTGGCATTTTTAAATTGGGTTATTTGCTGTTTTATTATTGAATTATACAAAATCTTTATATATTCTAGATACAAGTATTGTATCCAATATATGGTTTGTAAATATTTTCTCCCATCTGTGGGCTGTCTTTTCATTTTCTTGTTGATACCATTTGTAGTATAAAAATTTTTAATTGTGATGAAGTCCAATTTATCTCTTTTTTTCTTTTGTCACTTGTACTTTTTTTTTGGTGAGGAAGATTGGCCCTGAGCTAACATCTGTTGCCAATCTTCCTCTTTTTGCTTGAGAAACATTGTTGATGAGCTAATGTCTATGCCAGTCTTCCTCTATTTTGTATGTAGGATGCCACCACAGCATGGCTTGATGAGTAGTGTATAGGCCTGCGCCCGGGATCCGAACCTGTGAATCCCGGGCCACCAAAGCAGAGCATGTGAACTTAACCACTATGCTACCAGGCCAGCCTCTGTTGCTTGTACTTTTGGTGTCATATCTAAGAAACCATTGCCTAATGCAAGGTCTTAAAGATTTACTCCTGTGTTTTCTTCTAACAGTGTTGTAATTTTAGCTTTTACTCTTCAGTCTATGATCTATGTTGAATTATTTTTTGAGAATAGTGTGAAACAGGAGTCCAACTTCATTTTCTGCATGAGGATATCCAGTTGTCCCAGCACCGTGTTGAAAAGACTATTCTTTCTCATTGAATTGCTGTGGTCCCTTTGTCAAAAATCGGTTGCCCATAAATGTATGGGTCTATTTCTCTGATCTCAATTCTATTCCACTGATCTATATGTCCATCCTTATGCCAGTAACATAATGTTTATTTTTACTTACTTTCACTTAGTTTTTTTCTAGTGAATTGGTTGCATGTTTGAAATTGTAGATTTTTTAAAAAGAAAATGCAGGTTATTTAAAAACATATTAACTACCATCTGAATTTGTCATTGTGTCATTGATGATTATTTCTATTCAAATGAGTTTTAAAGGTGAAATAAATTCATTTGGCAACAAATTCATTCCACAAAGACATTAAACAATTTCAAAGTCATATATAATAAATGCTTGACAAATGAGATTCTTCCTATGAAATGATGTTGCAAAACAATCTTTCCTTATCTCTAAGTATAAACTTGTATGGGAAACCATTGTTAAATTAAATAAAGAGGCTATTAGACCGAGATGGCTTTAATGCCTTAGTAGCCTACATAAGCAAACCAAAACTTAAGCCTGTAGTGCCTCAAGGTTAAGAAATTGAAAGCTAAGGATAACCAATAACAAGCAATTAAGTAGGCTTTCCCAGTTAATGCACTCCCTCAAGCTATAGCCAATCAAATAATTTCCTTGCTTTGCTTCTAACCCTTCTCTATAAAAGTCTTTCCCTTGGCTCCAGTCAGTGGAGTGCTCCTAACCACTTGCAGTTTGGTGCTGCCTTATTCCAATTGGTCTTTGCTCAAATAAACTCTTAAAATTTTTAATATACCTCAGTTTATCTTTTAACACCCTCATTGGTCTAACTGCAAATATGAAATGATTATGCTGAGCATATTAGTTTCCTAGGGCTACCATAACAAAGTACCACAAACTGGTGGCTTAGAACAAGAGAAATTTATTGTTTTATAGTCCTAGAAGCCAAAGTGTGAAATCAAGGTGTCGGCAGGGCCATGTTTTTGCTGAAACTGTTACCACACAAATGGCACTATCTACTTGCTGCGAGACAAAAGCCAATCGTGAAGAGGCAAGATGGTGGAAAAGAAAGGGCAGTTTATTACAGTTTGCTAGCAAGAGGGAAGATGGCCAACTAGTGTCCAAAAGAACCATCTTAAGGGGGCACAAAATCTTGCAGCAGTTACATAGGCCAGTGGGTTATAGGGGAGGGGGTTAGGAATGTTGACTCTCTGGTATTACAGACTGGGAGTCCCACACCAGATCTTTCAGTTTTCACTGATGATGGCTATCAGCATAGACTCTCTGTTCAGGGGTCATCACATTCCTAAGGAACTCAAAAGAACAAAGTTATCATCTTATTGCAGCTGGGAGGTACATGCACAAACAGGGGTTGTAAAATCTACAGAGCAGTTAGATCTCTTGGAGGGTGCATATCCAGCTGGGTTAGTTAGTGAGAGGTCATTCAAAGTTACAATAGGGTTGCTTTTCTACACTATGGCTTCCCTTATGTCAACCTTGTCTTGAGCCGGTATCAAAACCTGTAGGGGAAGAATACTTTCTTGACTCTTCCAGCTTCTGGTAGTCCTAGATATTATTTGGCTTGTGGCAGCATAGCTCCAACCTTCAAATGTCCTTCTCCCCAAATCTCCTTACATAGTCTTCCTTCTGTGCATGTCTAGCTCTCTATCCAAATTTTCCTATATAAGATCACCAGTCATTTTGGAGTAGGGCCCACCCAAATGACCTCATTTAACTTGATTACCTCTGTAAAGACTCTATTTTCAAATAAGGTCACATTCTGGGCTACTAGGGGTTTGGACTTCAGCATATCTTTTTGCGGGGACATAAGTCAACTCATAACACTGAGCTTCTGAGAATAGTGTTCTACTAGACCAATATTTCAATTTTAAAACTTTGAGTTATTTTATTTCATTTGTTGTTTCTACTGACCTTAGAACTGATGGATACTTCTTGATTATTATTTCCCTGGAACATACCTGTTCTTAAAAGTGACTATAGCTATTTGTTCTTAAAAGTAATTATAGCTTAGTAGTGACTATAGCTATATGGGTGGGTGCAGCTATCACCATGGCTGTGTAGATCAGTCATCTCTCTTCCTTTTTGTATTTTATTTCATATTCATTCATTCATTTATTAATTAAAAAATAGTTATTAGCTACCTATTATGCACCAGACATTGCACTGGTCATTGGATTCTATTAGCATTATTTCCATCTGACTTAGGGAAAAATTGCTGATAGAGGATGTACTAACCCTGGAACATTAGAACACTATTTAATAAATTTTGTCACTCAGCTTGCTAAATTGTATTCTTAATATAATAAAACATGTTTATGATGACTTTCTGACCTAGAAGTAGGTAGCGATGACTTTAGATGGGTCCCTTCCAATGCAGAGATCATATTTTTCCCCAATGATTTTTGTTCAACATTTATCATTTAGGTACTTTCTTCAATTCCTCAAAAAATCAAAGAAAGAAAATCTACAGAACAACTATGCGGAATATGATCTGTGAGTCCATATGTAAAACTCTTACAGGAATGTGAAGTATTTTACACTCTGTAATCAACACTAAGATTGAGAAACAAACAAAAAATAAATTGAATAACAATTCTTAGCCCTTAAGGAATGGAGTAGGCACTCCAGAACTGCTGCTCAAGAAGATTTCAGATGGTGTTTCAGCCCCCCGGCCACAGCTTGGTGCTCAAGCTCCAGTTTAGTCTCCTCCCTGCAAGCAACAAAAGGGCCATTACTTTTGAAAGGTAGCAAAGTAAGCACCAAGAGCTAGATAAAGAGTCAGCAAGGAATTGCAACACCAAGAAATGAAATAAAGTCAATAGGAAGTTAATATTTATAGGAAAGTCTTCCTTATTCTTCAGTTAATATTGATTTCTACTTATAAAAGCTAGGGGAAAAGTTTCAAATATTGAATTTCTTTTGAAAAGTTGGGAATATATTTGTTAGGGGTAGTGAGTGATGATTTCCATTGTAGGACATTTGGGAGTGGCCTCTGATATATGCATACATGTGCAACAACAGTGTGCTGCTGGGCCCACTCTGATCATGCTTGCCGGCACCTTCCCCACGACCATCTGCCTGGCTGTTTCTCTCCTCTCTACTGCCCGTGAAAGGATATGACTTATTCTTGGCTGTCAGAGCCGAGTCAGCTGTGATAGCAAGCCGCTTGCTTGCCTCTCCCTCCTATCTTTCCCTCTCTATTTTTATAAAACAATATTTTTGAGAAATTGAAAGAATACAGAAAAGGATTTATTTGACAAATGCCCATACTCACACCATTCAGAATTAACAACTGTTAATATTCAGTCATGTTTGTTTTCAGTCTTTTTTTATTATTTTAGAAAGTTAATAATCTCCTTAAGTCATTACCATAGGTCCCAATTACTCCTCTCTCCAAAGATAATCATATCAAGAGTTTAGTGAAATGCCCTTCTGTTGATGTTTTAATGCATACATTTATCTATATATAGTATTGTTTTCTGTGCAGTTTTTAAAATATACAAAATATTTGCATATATGTAACATATTCAGCATCTGCTTTCTTCTATATATCCTGTTTACATTTATTGTGATCTCTCAAGTTTAGACCTATATTTGCCATCTCATTTTGTTCTTTTTATTTACAATACTTCCCATTCACTTTTTCCTCTCTTTTCTTGATTTCTATAGGATTGATTTAGTTTTAAGTTTTCATCTATATCCATTTTTCTTTTCAAACCATCTATTCAATTATTTTTAAATTTCAACAATTATAATTTTCACTTTCAAGACTTCTACTCTGTTGTTTTTCATAACGACCTATCCTTGTCTCAGGATATGACACTCCTTCTTATCTCTCTGATACAGGATCATCCAAGTCTTGTGGGTCCTGAAGCTTCTACGATTTGGAGTGCGCTTTTTAAGAAAAAAAATTGTTTATGAAAATGAATAGTTACTTAGAGTTAAAAATAAATCACAACACATTTCAGGAGTCTTGGAGCTTCAGGTTCCTTTCTTGTGAGATCCCTTAGAAAGTTCATCAGAAATGCTTACCTAAAAATGGGCTTCCCCTCTTTATCTAGAACACTTCATAACTCCTGGCAACTCCCAGCCTTCATAGGGACTCATTAGCTCAAGCTTAAGAACATACACACACACACACATATAGTCTTTTCAATCATTTATAGTGTTCGAGGTGAGGAGGAGAGCTGGAGCATGTGCTCAGTATACTACCTTGAAACCAGAATTCTGGTTTTAGCCAAGGTGTATGTAAACAATTTTCACCTCTCTTTTTTGTTCATTTTTTTTTTCATCTCATGTTGTAGGCTAATAGTTTATGATTCTAGTGGTTATATTGTTATTGTAATCAAATTAAATTCCTTCTGAAATTAGGGAATATATACATTGCTAGGGGAGGAATAAGTTTCCTTAACCCTATTAGGGTCCCTAGCTGGGTCTGGAAATTAAACTGACAAAGGCAGATTAACAAGAGAAAAACATACAGATTTATTTAATGTAAGTTTTATGTGACATGGGAGGCTTCATGAGGAAATGAAGACCTAAAGAAATAGTTAGACCAGTGTATTTTTATGTTAGGTTTGATGAAGAGTAGACAGTCATAGAGGAAAATGATAGGTTAAGGAGTATGAGGTAATTGTAGTAAACTGGCGGAAACTTAGCAAGGCCT